AAATACACAAAATAATGTTCTTTTTAGCAGCATCATATGACCCCTTTAAAATAATTTTATAATATAAAAAACAAAATGTATATAATATTTATTTACTATAATTTAACAATTTTTAATTAATTTTGTATACAATATTATATATTTAAATACTAAAAATAATATACACTTGTATATTGTATATACACACTTGTATAATCATTAAAAATAATGATTTTATTGTAATCTAAAATGAACTTTTTAAAAAAGATGTAAACAAAAACTTATATTTTGGATGCGATTAATCGCGATTAATTATAATTTATTTTGTTTTGTGCCATTCAAAACTGCTACAGGGTTGAATGTTTCAGGGTTGAAGACCAGTGCAAAAATTAGCTAGGAAATCTCACTGCACCACTCCACATTATTTACATCCACTATTCTTGTGGTAAAACATGGTTAAACACCCATTTGTTTAGGACCTTTCCTTTTTAAAAATAGGCTTTGTGTTGGAGTAAATCCCAGTTGGCCGGGCGATGAAAATGCGAGTGGAAGAAGTTCTTTTGCTCGTCCCGATTCACAAGAACAGTATCATACAGCGACCTGCGCTCCACTAAAGCTGCTGAGCTTCTTTGGCTCGGCTCCATTTCACAGGCACCGAGAGAAAAGCCTGCGGCAAATTAGATTAAAATTGCTCACAGTTTGATGTTAATGAGTCTATCACCAATAAAACAAGCCCTTCACCGGACCCCTCTCGCATTCTCACTGCTCTCTACAAGAAACAAAAAGAAACACGACTGGGGATTTGCTTCCATTTTCCAGATAAACCAAAACTATTACATGAGATATTTCTAAACAAGCAGCAGTAGCTGAAGCCTGTGTTCACGGCTCATCCAAATTATGGTGATTATGAGAGTCATCCCTGGAAATTATGTTTCTATGGAAACACTCAATGTTAAAATAATTTTGATCTATGAGTGATCACAAGATAATAATCAATATATTTAAAAGAAAGCACATGTTTAATTAAAGTAAATATATTTAATAAATAAGATATTTAAATTTATTTTAGATATTTAAATATTTTCTCTTTTGAATTTAATCAATATATTTCAAATAATCATTTTTTATAATAATCAATATATTTAGAAGCAAATAAAATCTTAATTAAAAGTAAAAATAATTATCATATATATCATGATATCAGATATCATTTACATCAAGTAATCATTTCATATAATAATAAAAACAATAATAATAATAATAATAATAATAACAACAACAGACAACAACAAAAATATTTACGTATGATTATAAAGGAATATAAAATGGTTACATGAATCTGATAATGATAATGATCTGAAAATGTAATTATTATAATAATTTGTTGTTGTTGTTGTTGTTGTTAGTATTATTATTATTATTATTATTATTATAACTACTACTACTACTACTACAACATATAATTAGTATTAAAATAAAATATAAAAATGGTTACATTAATGGAAGTTGCTTTAAAAATGTAATTAATATATTAATATGTAATAATTTAATGCAATATTAATAATAACAACAACATGCAATTAGTATTAAAATAAAATATAAAAATTCTTACATGAGTGAAAGTTGCTTTCGAAATTATATCAAAATATTTTATGTAATCATTTCTAATAATAATAATAATAATAATCACATATGATTATTATTAAAATGGAATATAGAAATTGGTTACATGATTGGGAATTGCTCTCTATTCAAAATTTGTATGTAATAGTTTTATATATTAAAACTATTACACTGCAATATAACAAAGAGTGAAAAATTTAAGGGGGTCTGAATACTTTCCGTACCCACTGTATATAGAAGTTGCTCCCTGACTCCCTTTATCTATTAAAGTCACTGTCTTTTTAGTTGTGCTCACATGATGTCACAAAGTGGAAGTCAGAGCTTTTATAAAGTTTTCAAGTTTCCAACTTCACATTAACAGTTTTTCCTCCGAACCTATATTTAAGTGCAAAGTTTGAAGAGTTTGTTGAAGGAGAGTAGTTTACTACAGTTGCTCGACTGGGAAACACTCTCTGCATGTGTCTGGTTCACGCATGGGGGAGGGATCGTAAGCATCCTCTGCCCTCTGTAAACGTCTCCAGAGTCATTTAAATACATAAGAGGATTAGAAAAGTCTCGGGGAAGCCGGCCAGCACGTCGTGTTTCTAACTCAAGAACAAAAACATGAGTCCCCCTCCTCACCCCGTCGCCTGGAGGAAACGCAGCCTGTGAACTGTGCTCTCATATGATGGAGAACACCTGTCTGACACTGAGAAGAGTCATGGCCTGAATTCACACGACACACTTGCTCAAATTGACAGCAAACTGAATTATGACATGTGTTCCCAAAGGCGCAGATTATATTTGGATCCCCAAGGTCAAAGGTTGGAAAACAGCCAGTTGGGAAATAATTGAAGACAGAAGAAAGTTTAAAGCTTTGCTATAATAGGAACACATTTTTGGAAATATAACATCCTGAAATATAATCCATCTGAACTTGCCTAAATGAGAACTTAAAGGGACAATTCACACAAAAATGAAAATTTGGTCATTATTTGCTCACCCTCAAGTTGTTCCGATCCTGTATGAGTTTCTTTTTTCTGATGAACACACAAGAAGATATTTTAAAGGGTATGGGCACTCAAACAGTTGATGGTAGCCATTGACTTCCATAGTATGGAAAAAAAATACTATGGAAGTCAATGGCAATTCTTTTGTGGATAGTGCTGTCAAACGATTAATCGCATCTAAAATAAAAAGTTTTGCTTACATAATATATGAGTGTTTGCTGTGTATATTTATTATGTATATATA